GGCAGAGCGGGGGCCAGGCTGGCAGGGGCGGAAGCACTTGAAGTCCTTTCTGCTCCCCCCCCCCCACCCCCCAGTTACTTATTGGTTACTTTGCAGGCCAAGTGAGAAAGTTCCCCATCAGCTGCACGCCAGGGACCCTGGGGAGGGGGTGCGACTATCAGGCCCAACCCAGGGGGTAACTGGGTCATGGATACATGTGGTCTGGCCTGGATGGATGCGGTCTGGTCCAGCTGGATAGAGTCTGGCCCGACAGACGTGGTCTGCTGCGGGTGGATGCAGATGCAGTCTGACCTGGATGGACACGGTTTCACCAGGATGGACAAGAGTTCGACCCAATGGACACGGGTTTGACCCGGATAGATACAGTCTGGCCTGGATGCAGTTTAATCCTAATGGATGTGGGCTTGACAGTATGGACGCAGCTCGATTTGAATGAACACGATCTGACCCAGATGGACACAGTCTGACCCGGATGGACGCGGTCTGGTCCGGATGGACACTGTCAGTTTTGGCTGGACACGGGGCACCCCTGGTGAGCACGAGCAGTGGGCTCCAGTGCTGTGGCAGCTGTTTCCCCTCAGGGCCTGCTCCCACTGGAACCAGCGACTCGGGGCCAGCAGGACTCAGGCTGGACTTGGGCGTCGCGAGCTGCCGAGACACCCCTCCCTCGCTCTGTCCACCCAGAGTGCCGCAGAGGGCTCGGGGACAAACACCCTGCCAGCTTCCCGGTGGCTAAGTGTGGCGGCCCAGCCTCTCCCTCTGGGCTACTGTGGCCACGCCACAGGAAGCCTCCCACCTTCTCACTCAGCTGGCCAGTGTGGCTGGGGTGGAGATGGGCGAGCTGGGCAGATGACCGCTGAGGCAGGGGTGAGTGGCCCTGGCCGAGACACAGGCGCGGCTGCTCAGTGCTGCCCCCCACCCCCCCGCGCTGGAGCTGGCGGGACAGTCCCAACGGGTCTCGGCAGAGACCCCACAGCCTCTCTTAGAGGAGCCCACCCTTTCCCGCGGAGGCACAGCATCACTGAGGGGCAGGCACCCCTACGCCCACAGGCCATCTCAGGCCATGGGCTCATGAGCACTCCCGTCACCGGGCCAGGAGGGGACCTCCCTGAGAAGATGCCTCACCAAGCAGGGACACCCCAGCCCCATCCCGAGAAACCTACAGGGTCCGGGAGAGGGACGCAGAGCTGACCCCATGACCCTGAGACTCCCAGAAGCAGGCTCCCGAGGGCTCCTCTGGCGGGAGGGCCAGGGAGGGGAAAGGAAGCCGGACTGCAGCATACGGGGATCCCTGAGGCAGGAAACACATGGCGCCGGAGCCGCCCGGTGTCCGGACAAGCGGCCAGGAGGGGGTCAGTCTGCACGTGTCAGCTGCAAGCAGTGCACTGGCCGTCCAAGGGAGAGATGAAGCCACCCTGAGAGTCAGAAGCCTGAATCCCGAACCCCGGACACCCGAATCCCAGAGGACAGGAAGGAAGTCCAGAGAACTGGAAACCCAGGGGCTCCGAAGCTCCGAAAGCCGGAAGTTCTGAGCACCGGAACTATGAGGCAGATGCTGACGTACCTCACCAAGGGCCCCACCTGTCATGCTCTGGCAGCTGCCAAGGACGTCCTGATGAGGCTGGCACCTTTGCCGTTGCGAGATGGGTACCCAAAGGGTTCTAGAAGCATCCCTCTGAGGCCAAGCTGAGCGACGCCCCGCCCCCCCTCCCCCCGCCCCGCTGGACCAGGGCTCTTCTGCTGGGAGCCCCACATTCACCTGGAGAGACCTGTCTCTGTGCCCAGCAGGCAAAGCCCGAGGAAAGCAGGAAGCCATCTTCGTCCCTGGAAGAGGCCGGGGCGCCGTCCTCCTCACCACCTCCACTCCTGGGCCGCCCCTCTCCACTGCTCACCCGCACGGGGATGTGCCCAAGGGAAGCGACAACAGGCCAAGGACGGGGCACGGGGGAGCAGAGTCTGCAGGAGGCAGAGGCAGACTGGCAGTGGGTGGGAGCGAGGCCCCGTGACACACAGCCCTGACCCTGCCAGGCACTCCGATGCCTCATTCTGTGTCCCGGGCTGGCGATGCCAGTGCCCGCCTCCCTCCTGCCCTGCTGTGCCAGGGAACTCGGAGAAGGGAGTCAGAGGTGGGCGGGGGCCCCAGGCACCCAGTGCAGCAGAGAAATGCCCCTTCTGCTCCCCTGAAAGCTGTGTTCTGGGCAGGGATATGCAGCCACCACCCGGGCTCTGGAGGAGAGCTTAAGCAGTCAGGGGCAGTTCCAGGCGGAGAACACAGCCGAGCCAAGGCCCTGGGGCTAATGGGGGAAACGACCGCTCAGGGACAGGAAACAGATGAGAGTCACGGAAGCTGAGTGTCTGGGGACTACCTGACCAGGAGGGGTGGGAATTCTGAGGGAAACAGGGCAGTACATGGGGCTTACTCCTTGCACTGTGCTCAGGGATCAGCCCTGTTGGGGGAGTAGGCTGTGCTGGAGAGTGGCCTGGGGATGATCACAGGCAGGACAAGGCCCCCTTAGATGAGCTTCCGGCCCAGGAATCTGCAGGCTGGGTCTTCTACAAACTCTTAACTCCCACTGTTGGCCCACAAAGTTCTTCCAGGCACGAGGCATAATTATTAAAGCAATTTACCAGCCCACCCCTCGCTCTGCGAGCACTTTCCTATCTGCACAAAACCCATCACCCCATTTGTTTGATCCCCATATGAAGAGAGAAAGCGACGCTCAGAAAGGTTTAGTAACTTGTCAGGGGTAGCACAGCTCGAGAAGAGACGGAAGTGAGAACTAGAGCCAGGTCTCTGTGGGATGCAGGTCTGCAGCCTGGCCTGTGTTCTGAGCACTGATATGTGGTCAAGGTCCAACATGCAGCTGCCCGCCCAGCGGGAAGGTCGCATCAGGCATGCCGGGATCCTGAGTTGCCCGGAACCACGGCATCCTTCTGTCCTGGCCCTGGTAGCAAATCGCCACCCCCTTCACTGCCCTCCAGTGCTGAGCCCTGCGCCCGATCTCATGGCACACGGGGGACACAGCCAGATGTCAATGGCTGGGTCTCTTGTCCAGAAAATGGAGTGCGGGGGGGGGGGGGGGTGCAGGTCTGGGATGACCCTTAGCACACTGCAGCCACTACTGACCAATCGAGGTCATCTGCCGTCTCCCCTGGGCAGGGTGGCAGGAGTCATGCCCTCCACAGATGGGGAGCTGCCTGTTGAGAACAGACCCTCACAATCTCCCAGAAGATGGGCCGTGGGTAGCCGAGCTCTGGAACATAGACCCCCACCCCCAGACCACTCTGCCGGTGCCCAGAGCTCACGGAGACTGGCACATGGTAAGGAGATGCTCACTCAGCGAGTGTTGTGGGAGGAGGAAGAGGAGGGAGGAAATCCACTTCCAAGGCAGGGCTAAGCACATCACCTGATTTCCCGCTGATCAATTTACAAGAAAAAGGGAAGGAGAGTGAGGGTGTAGGTTGTGGCCAGGGCCCACTGTGTGCCCGCCCGCAGGGGGCTTTTCTCAGGCTACATCGCCCCTGGTCCAGAAGGCCCTGTCCATAGCCTCCGCCCAGTCAGACCGGCCCCCTGCGAGTCACCCTGAGGCCTCTCTGACCCCCCTGGGCCTGAACAACCGGGTCCTGCCTTCCCACTCTCACCACAGCTGGTGACAAAAGGCTTCCGGTGCCCTGGGCCTCTGAGAACCCCAGGCCAAGGGCTGACCAGCCCGGACTGCCCTGCCCCCTCTCCTTCTCCAAGCCCCAGCAGCAAAGCATGACTCAGCGATCTCCTCCCGCGGCCAGCACCACCCCGCAGCACCCCCCCCCCCCCCACCAGGTTCCACACGCAGCCACAGCTCCCGGTCTGGGATGCTGAATGCTGGTCGTCAACCAGCCTGACGCGGCTCAGGCGCGGCTCTGCCGCCCGCGGGGCCTCCTACCAGGCAGCGCCCGGCACCAGCGCCGAGTCCCGGCCCGAGCGCACGCGGCGCGCTGGCACTGCACCCACGCGCACGGCCCCGAGCGCACACGGCGCGCTGGCACCGCACCCACGCGCACCCGCGCTGCGCGCACCGCCCAGGGCCCCTCCCCCTGGGGGCGCCCACCCGCGGCCTCTCCCAAGAACCCACCGCCGCCCCCCCCCCCCACGGCAATTCTGAGGCTGGTGGCTCCAGGAGCCCTTAAGGAGACACATAACCAACCCCTACATCTGGCTGCCCCCCCCCCGCGCGGCGCACTGACACCCCCACTGCGCGCTCTCCCCACCCCTCCTCCGACCCTTGATTCCCCGCTGCTGCGGATCAGCGTGTCACCCCCAGCTCCCTGGAAGTTACCGGCTAACTGGGAGGGGCCTCCAGCTCCGGGTTCCACCTGCCTCTCCTGGGGGTGGGGGCTGGGCTGGGGCGGCGGCGGCCAATTTAGGGGGCGTTCAAAGGCAAGGCCCGTGGGGGCGGGAATGTGCTGCCAGTTCGGGGCCATGTCTCGACCTCCTCTCATTCACCCGGGAATAAAGGACCACTCCCAAATCGGCGCCTTCTCCCCCACAGATACCCAGGTTCTGGGGGCGCAGGGAGGGGCCGGGCGCGCAGAGTCGACCTCCCGGGAGAAATGGCAATGTGCACGAGGATGGATCCCCCCTATTTTTCTGGGTGCCTGCTCGCCTCCGGGAATATATCTGCAGCCGAGAAAATTCTGCGGCTTTAGGCCGGGCGGGCTGCCACGGCCACCCCCGGGACGGACGCCGCTGCCCTCTCCTGGGGTCTCGCGGAGAGCCGCCCGCTGGCCAGGGCGTACGCCCAAGGCGACCGGCCTGCGCGGAGGAGGGCGCTGCCCGCGGGCGGACGCACGGCCGGCCCCGGCCGGGCACCGGCCTGGCTCGCTCCCTCCCCCGCTCCCTCCCTCCGGGCCCGGGCGGGGGACACGACACACAGCGCGCGGTCCAAACCTTCGGAGGGTACTCGGTGCGATGGCATCGCCACGCCGCGGCGGCCGGGGGCCTCGGACAACACGTACGTTACCTTCTGTCACATAGCTGTGGTCCCGCAGGAAGCTGTGGTTAATTTTCCGCGTGTCCGTGTCCTCGCCCATTGAAGGCCGTGCCCGGTGCCCTGGGCATGCCCCGCCGCCGCACAGCGATGCAATCCGCAGAGGTGGCGCCGGGCGCGCGGGCCATGCCGCCGCAGCCTAGCAGGGGCGCGGGCCGCCGGGGGCTCGGGGAGCGAGCATCGCGGCCGGCGGGTCGGGGCGAGCCGGGGCCCGGGCGCTCATCCCGGCCGGCCCGTGTGCGCTGCGCGCTGCGTCCGTGCGCCCCGCGGGGGCGGCGGCGGCGGGAGCGGACGCGCGCGGCGCTGCGGCGCCGACCGAGCCGGGGCCGAGCCGGGCCGCCGCCGCCGCAGGCCCCTCCCCGCGCCGCCCGCGCCCGCCGCACGGCCGGCGGGCGGAGCCGCACCTGGGGGCCGGGGGTGGGGGCAGGGGGTCTGGGAGAGACCAGACCGGGGCGGGGTGGGGGGGGCGGCCCGCGGGCAGCTCCTGGTGCAGGACCTGAAGGTCAGACGGGGCAGGGGCGGGGGCGACCCAGATGGAGGATACTGACAAGCCCCAAGGCCCCTTTGGAGGGCAGGGCCGGATTCGGGCGTGGGGACACGCGTCCTAGGAGGCCAAACAGGGTGAGATGGCGCGGGGAGCCGCCTCCCCCGGGCAGAGCTGCCGTCCCGGAACCGAGGGGCTCATGTAGAAGCAGGGTCGGGGTCCCCCAAGGCTCCATGAGATCGCGGCCTCCTGCACCCCCCCCCAGCTAAGTCTCCGGGCTGTATTCCCTGATACCCCAGCCTCCTCCAGCCCCCAGAAGCCTGCGTGGGGCCCCAGGGGGACTTCAGAAGAACACTGGCCTCTGGGGCTCTCTTCTGGCACCTCAAGAGCTGTCCTGACGGGGCCGGAGGATGGGGTCACAAGGGAGATCCCGGGCGGGCGGAACCATGGTGCGGAGGGGAGGGCACTGCCTTGCATGCCTCCGACCCCGGTCAGTCCGCTGAACACTGCGAGGAGTGATTCCTGAGTGCAGAGCCAGCAGTAACCCTTGAGCACTGCAGGGTGTGGTCAAAAAGAAGAGGGAGGAGGGGAGAGGAGGAGGAAGAGGAGGAGGGGGAGGAGGAGCAATTCCCCATTCCCCATTCCCGGCTGGCTGCGCTGCGGAATTAGGGCATTTCACAGCAAAGTTGGCCTTTCATTAGCCGGAAGTGCCCAGGGCGAACAGAGCAGTTGGGACCCAGCCCCCTGAGTGTAAGGGAAGGGCCTTGGAGTGGCCCAGGGGCTCTCCTGAGGACACAGTTGTGGAGTCCGGGACCTCCCATGTGGCCTTCCCCTTCCTGTCGGATATTGGGGCGACCCCACATTCTCTCTGCCCCCTCAGCTCTGCTGAAACCCTTCATGGAAGGCCTGGAGCCCCCCAGGGGGAGTCCTGCCATGTCTGTCTGCAGAGTTGGCTGCACCCCAGGTGGGCGATCTCCAGCCTCACTGGGCACTGAGGCTTGGCATGGCCCCCTGCCGCACAGCTGTCCCCTCCCCCCTAAGGGCACCAAGAACCCCACCTCCTGCAGCACCCCTACACCAACACGGGCCCTGCCCTTTCACCCCTCCACCTCACACTCATCTCTGCCTCTTTTCATGGCCGCGTGCCCGCTCTCCCCTGCCTACACACCCCCCCCCCCCCCCCCCCCCCCGTAGAATTCACTTAGGCTGTCTCCACCCTCTGTCCCAGCGCCGGGCAGAGGGGAAAGTGGGTTACAAGGGTGGAGGGGGTGGGGGTGACAAGGACCTCAGGGTAGGTCAGGTTGCTCAGCACACCTCGGGGTGACCCCAGTGAAGTCCACTGGGACCTTTTCTGGACTCTGGGAACCGTCCTGTTCAAAACCAGGTGACCAGCTGGCTGGTCTAGAGGTGGCGTGTGTTCGAGAAGCAGAGTCAGCTGTAAGGGAGGCCGGATGGTACAATGGGCTGCACCCACATGGGTCTGGAGCGTCCTGTCACACTGAGTGAAGTTGATCGGAGAACAGACACAGGGTGATCTACGTCACATGTGGGGGATGAAGAAGCATAGCGGGGGACTAACAACTGCCCAGTGGTGGGGCCGGAGCGATAATAAAGCAGGGAGGGCACTTGCCTTGCACACGGCCAATATGGTCTGATCCCTGACCTCCAGCCTGGTCCCCTGAGCACTGCCAGGCATGATTCCTGTGTGCAGAGCCAGGAGTGACACCTGAACATCACTAACATGGCCCTCCCCTCAGCCCAGGAAAATAAAACATAGGAAACCCAAGTGACAACGGCAGTAGGACAGATCTTGGGCAGGAAGCTTTGCAGTGGGGTCCAGGTACACTGGGATAATGGTGGACGGCGTGCTGGGATGTTTTATGTATGAAACCCCACCACTGACAGCGTTGAAAAACAGTGTCTAAAGAAAAATTACAAAAGGGGCAGAGATGCTTCCAGGCCCTGCACCAGGCTAAGTCTCATCTCCAGGGCGTCCCGGAGCAGGGCAGGTGACCCCCCCCCCAGCTGCCCAAACAGAGGCCCACCACACCGGCAGCCGAAAACCTCCACACTCCAGTCGCCGCCATGCTCAGGCCGACCCCGCAGGTTCAGGACGCACCTCATCCAGGAATGAGTCTGTTGAAAAACTAAGATATGCGGGTTTTATGCCAAAATCTCCCAGCTCTCGGGGAGTCAGGGATGGGCTGCCTCCCCCATGTCCCTGTCCTGCTGGGAGTCACGCCCTTGAACTGCCTCTGGCTGTCAAAGAAGTTCACTAAACAGCCATGATCCAGAGACTCATAAATAAATCTTGAAGGAGATAAACAGGCTGCAGAGATGCTTCCAGGCCCCAAAGTCACCATCTGTATATTCAAAAAATAAGTCACGAAGGGCTGTGGTGGCTCCCTCGCCGCCTGTGTTCAGTGGTCTTGCGCCGCTTCCCCCACCTCAGGGCGGCTGATGGCAATGGGTCAACGAAGAAGGGACAAGGGCCAGGCTGGTTGGTGTCAGATGCAGTTTCTTCCGTCTGGTCTCCATTCTCCTCTGATTCACCCTCAGCTGCTGCTTCCTCCTCCTCCTCCTCCCCGATCTTACAGCCTCAGTTAAATCGCAAATCATGAGGGCTTGGGGTGATAGTTACACATAGGTGTGGTCACGTAATCAACAGAGGTAAAGTTCTTCACTCAGGGGAAGCTTCTTCTAGGACAGATTCTCATTCAGTAAGGCGTCCTGCCCAAAGCAAAATTCCATTTCTGGGTGTGTTTCTCCTTCCCTTAGTCCAACAAACATATATTAATTACATATCAAATATTATATGCTTTAGGTTCATAATATTAGTCATTTTGTATGGGCACATTAAGCGTATAGGATTGGGGCCATCTCGCTATAGACCTCAGACCACAGTGCTCAGGCCAGATTATTCTTTCCTAACCCTAGCAGGGTACTAATCTTGTCGTTACTTTTTGGATCATGACAGAATTTGTCCACGACCATGCTCTTCACTTATCGTTAAGTATTGGCCTGACCCACTTCGATCCCAGGGTAGCTCACAGCTTGCCCTGGGTCTATCCAGTCCCTCGTCGGGCCCCTGCTTTTGGGGTGCTAGGAACTAAGGGCAACTAAGCTTAAGTAGAGAAAACATGCCTGGGACTGAAAGTCATTTGGAGTCAATTAACTCTCAAATTGCAAAAGCATAATATTAACTGTCTTCCTTTGTCCATACGAAAAGGACATTGCTTTAAAGTAAACTATTCAAAAGACACACGGAGAGGAGAAGGGCGATATTTAACTTACAATACAATTTCAGTGTCTTTAGAAGGATCTGACCTTACAGTTAACAGATTCTGACTAGGGAAAAAGGTGATAGACCAGTTGAGGAAGAGAGCACAGAGAAATTACAGATAAGCACAGAGGAATGGGAGTGACTCGGGAGCACTGTGATGGGTGTAACCCAATATCCCTGTGGCAAGGGAGAAAGGATAAACCAATGTTAAGCCTAAAATGTTTAGAGCTATATTCCAACAACCACCCAGTTAAAATTTTAACTCCAGGAGTAGCACACCATTCAAAATTTTAAAATTCCTGGAGCATGAGGCCAGGAATGTGACATCTCAAACTCTACACCACTGATGTGGAGTAGCGCCCCATAGTGGATGGGGTGTAAAGGACAAGGAAGCCAATCTCAATCAAGGAAATATCAACACGTAGGCCTCTCTCTCCTCCTCTCTCTCCCTCCCTCTCTCCCTTTCTCCCTCTCTCTCTCTCCCTCCCCCCCCCCCCCCCCCCCCCGCCCGGCACCCTCTGTTTTAGCTCCGTAACAGGCGGTGTGGCTGGTAGCTGAGATCTGTCACTGCCACAGAACTTCACCTGTCAGGGCTGCACTCAGCGCCTAATCCCACACTGGGTTCTGATGGGAGGACTGTGTGGGTGGCCATGGACGGTCCCCCCCTCCGAGGTTAGAGGCTCACCGCCTTCCTCACTCGCCTCCACATGCTCAAATCTGTGTCCTCTGCTCCGACCACACCACCTCCCCTAGAGCCCTGACAGGGCCATGGCTGGGCCGGGGCAAGATGAGGGGGCGATGAGGCTGATGGAAGCCACATGGCCACCTCTCAGGAGGTTGACGGCAGGGGGCACAACAGCACTCAGGTGGCGACAGTGTCACAACAGGACATTCACATGCGGGGGGGGGCACTGGTGTGGACACGGGCCCTCGACACCCCCCCAAGCATGACACACCAACAGAGTGACACATTTTCCACTTCTTCCAGAATGTTCCATGGCTTCTCTTTGCAGGCTCCCTGCCTGCTCCCTCCTCTCCCTTCCTCCCCATGCCCCACTCCAGTCCCAGCCAGTTAGTGGCTTCTCTCTCTCTCTCTCTCTCTCTCTCTCTCTCTCTCTCTCTCTCTCTCTCTCCCCACCCATCCCCTGGACTTGTGGCTGGAGCCAAAGCTTCAGATCCAGGCATGCCCTGTTTCCTAGCAACAGCCAAAATCAGTGAACCTGCCAGAACATTCAAGGAATCTCCCGGCTGCTCTGTGCTCTGGCCTTTCTCAGCAAACTGTGCCCGTGTGGCTGCACCCCCAGGGGTCGTCCCCACGAAGCCACTAGGCTGGGGCCATCAGTCATCATGGTCTCTGGACTGTCCATCTCCGGGCCCACGGGCTCAGCCCTGCCACCGGGAGCCGCAGATAGGGCCCTGCTCTGGACCCTGACGGCCTGTGCAAGGCCTCCTGGCACCCTACCCCAGGGCCTCT